GTGGAGGTCAGTCAGCTCAGACATGAGAAGCATGGTTAGTGATTTCCCACTGTAAACTCTCCTGATGTCTTGTGAACGAGATGTTCTCAGGACAAAGGTTTCCTTTGCTTTTAGAATAAAGAATCCACCATTGCCTGTCCTGCTTTGTTGGGTTATTTTAAATAATGTTGTTCTGCAACCAGACCCACTCTTGCTTTGGCCAGGGCATCAGAGAAAAGCTGATGGGCTTTAGAGTGCATTCCAGCCAAGACTGGGCTGAGGGGAGAGGGGACAGTCCCCCACAGTCCATCGTAGCCTCTTTTCACAGTGAGTCTTTGCCTCATGGTGTAGGCAGACTGCAGGATGAGGTGACAAGAGGCTCCATGGGGATATCTTTTCCTTCCTGGCCTCTTGTGTCTGCATAATAAAGGGACTGAAATGTGGACAGTGCCAGTGGGCACAGCCCTGCCCGCAACAGTGCATTTCTGCCTCTTTCGTGTTTCCATGAAGAGTCCCTCAAAGCTGCCATGTCCAGGCCTCCCAGCTTGTCTGCCTTGTCCAGAACTGTTTTGTACTGCTACAGGATCATAGCTGAGAACTGGGACTCTAGATTTAGACAGACCTGACCTTGATGGTCAGCTCTGCTGCCTACTTCTGGTAAGGCCTTGGCTAAGTTGCTTTATCTCTAAGACTTGTCTGATAAGTGGTTATAGTACTGATACGTGTAGATCAAGATTCCAATTGGAAGCAGTTGCTGCACCATGGATAACTTACTTAAAAAGAGACAAATTAAAAATATGGAGAAAATGGGATCTAAAAGACTACAAAAGAAACAAGAACCCAGGGTTAGCAGCCACTGAACTGCGACTGTCTACAAGCCGGTGGGTAATAGGAGAGGAAGAAGTTACAGGAGCCCAGAATGGGAGTGATGGGCAGAGATGCCTAGAAAACCCATGACCTTACCATCTGTCAGAAGAACCTTTCAGAGAGGGAGTTGGACTTTATTTTACTTCCTTTCTCCAAATTCTTGTTCTCCTGAAGTTCTCTGTGGGGCATTCCTGATGAGGTCTTAGAGGGGCAAGTGGCAGGTGACATAATCTGTGGGGAGCAGCCTCCCAGGCAGAGAAAGCAGAAGGCAAATGGATAGACCCTGCTGCAGAGCACAGTGGAGGATCCTCAGTAGAAGCCAAGTCCTAGTGTGGCCGAGCTGATTAAGTAACAGAATGATGTTAGGCTGAGCACGGTTCCTGGTGTCAGGTGTTTCACGACCAAGTCAGCCGTGACTGTTAATGCTCCTGTTTTCTCCACTGAATGTGAAAGAGTTGCCAACATTGTGGCACATGAAGTAGGACTTACCGCAATGACAGAGGGTCACACGTGTATCCCAACCCCTATCCTCAGCCCAGGAAAAGATGAGCTGGTGCTTTTTTTGATATCATAAAAATTTAATGTGATCCCTCCTGTCCTGAAGAATGCTCACAGGCTTCTTCTAAACCTGCCCACTTCTTGCCCTTGGACCATCTTTTCTTGAAATTTCTGTTCACATGAGAGGATTGCAGGATGAAGAAAGTATGATTTGAATTACTATGTACCACACTACTGAAAAAAAATAAGGATTCTCCGGGCTATTTGAGAGGCGGGAAATGGGACCTGAATGTGCTGGACACAGTTATATGTGGGATGTACAGACGTGCAATGTCATCACCAGACAAACTGTTCAAGAGATAGGTTGACTCCTGATCTTGGTATTAACAGATCTTCCACAGGGTCCTCCTTCTCCCCTTAACTCTGTGTGAGCATGAACAAACTGTACTATCTAAGTTTTTGTACATTCCCAGTCCTCCTTCACAGGAGTGTTTCATAGATTCAGAATGACAAGAAAAAAGATGGAATTTTGCATGAAGGTAAGAGCCTGCTTTGTACTGCCTGCCTCTCCTTTCTGGGTTGGGAGGCTGTCTGGATCGCAATGGGACAGCAGGGACAGTGAGAGTGGGACGGAAGGAAGAGAGCCTTCTGAATGACAACTTCAGGGCTCCAAAACAAGGGATGTGGAAGACACTGACAGTGAGGAGAGGGCAGGAGAACACAGCCCCGGGTGTCAGGGAGAGGCGGTATGGAATTCTTGGAGTTCATGACTCACAGCAAGATTATCACCCTGCTGTACCACTGATCGGTGGTATAAACTTAGACAAGATGGATCACTTCTCATGTTTATTATGGTGAGATACGAATATCTTCCTTGTAGGGTCATTCAGAAGAAATAAAAGAAAATTACATATGCAAAAAGCTGGTGAGTGTTTAATAAATGGTTCTTTTTCAAAATCACTTTTACTTTATCTTAAAAGCATCCATAAATTCACAGGATGGTTCACAGAGACTCCGTGATGGGCCCAAACCAGCACCAACAGAAAGTAGAAATGATTCCCAGTTCTCTTCCACAGGAGTGCCAGCGATCAGCACATCTTTGCGAGTGTCTGGCAAGTGCCCACATCCTTGCGTTTGCTGCTGCCAGCCCTGCACATGGACAGCTGCCCTGCCCACTGTCTGTCACCTTCAGCCCATCTCTCCAATTTCTCCTCCGTTTGGTCTGTCCTCACCCCTCCGCTAAAGAGTTCACTAGCCTGCAGTGCTGTGATCTTCCTGAGACAGGAGATCAGGGTGCAGCAAAGCTGGCTGGAGAGGCAGGTGTGACCTGGTAATTACAAAATCCCAGGACATGGGACACTTCCCTAAACCCGCTTGGACTTCTCTCAAGAACTCGAGCTGGTTTTCTATACCATAACCTTGACCTGACTCCAGCCTGAAGAGTGACACAAAAAGGACAGTACACACCAATTTTTGCCACTAGGTCACTCTGGCATGGTGGCTACCCTCATGCTGTAGGGTATACTTTTTTCCCACTTTTACTTGGCCCAAACTTGCTGTGGAGAACCTGTTTCTTTTCCTACCTTTAATAAAACATGGCTACTATTTGCACTTGTCTTGACCAATTTTTTTCTTAGGACAGAAAGAACCTAGAAATCATCTCTGCAAAGAAACTCCAGCACCCCAGAGCCCAGTAACATGCCCAGGACGCTCTGTTACTGAGGCCTCTGTGCAGGCAGCACCTGATATTGGATACCCGAGACACTTGCATGAGCCTTCTAGCTGCTAGTTTCCGCGTTACTATACTTCCTATAGGCACGGAAAGCAGAACAGTGATCGGAACTGTGCCTGCTGCTAGACTGCTTGATGCCCTCTCGGTGGGCTGTGGTCCTGAGCAGACAAGTGCTCCACAGTGTGTGTTCAGGAAGTGCTCATTGCATTAACTGGAATAAACACTGAAAGCTGACACACAGTTATGACGTAGCCAGGGACCACAGTGGGGTTGGAAAACAGGCAGTATCTCAGGCCCTTTCCTATAGCTATTTAAAAGGATTGGTGTTTTTTTCTGAGACAGCCAGAGACTTGTAAGCCCTTTTTGCTATGAACTCTGGGTCTTCACTTGGACTCACAAATCCCCAATGGATAAGTAAAAACAGGGAAAAAAAACTTGACCTTCATTTCGTCTCCTTCATTACTGTAAATCTTGGGTTAAATTCTTCTCAACTCTGTTTAGGGGTATTTTGATCATTTGGGAAGCATATATCTGGGAGCTGGCCTTACAAAGTTGATTAGCCCTGAATTTGTATGATCTCACGCCCCTTCAAGAATGAGGACACCAGGAGAAGAGGTAGACAGGGACGTCAACTATACACAGAAGCTTGGAGTCCTTGTCCCAAACTGATCATCTGGATTCCAGGAAAAGTGTCACCCCCATGTCTGAGACCCCTACCCCCCAGACAAGGACAATCCTTTCCTGGAACAAAACCATCCCTTAGCCACAAAGATTCTAGAACTGTGACCCCAGGTCTGTGCTAATGATAATCTGTACCCTAGCCTACCAGCTAATCCTAAAACACCAAGCTCTTGCCTTTCTAAACCTGTCTACACCCCTATGTCAGAGTGGGCTCACTCCAGCTGCTTAAACTGGAGTCCTTTTCTATCTTACAATTTTCCAATTAAAGCCTTTTTCCAAAATTTGTGCTTTAGTTTTAATTCCAATTTCTCCTAAAGCAAAAACCTGTGGTAGCTGGCAGTCACTGTACTCAGAATACTTTGACTTTCTGGACTGATCGTACATCTTTGTTTTAGGAAAATGGTGATGTGATGAATTTGATGAGGCAGAGGAGAAAGCTGGGTTTAACACTTTGAAGTCACTCTTCTGTTATGTGTAAGACCATGTATGTAGGATTTATGTAAGATCTTTGCTACTTGAGAAAACCCCTTAGCATGCTATAAACGCACCACACACACATACATGTGCATACACGCACACACACACACCACACATTTCACACTTGCTGTTTGTGTGCTTTGCTAGGTAGACATAAGCTGGGATGCTTGGGAGCAAGATTCTAAGACATCAATCCCTCTGTGCTGATGTAGGAAAATTCTAAAAACACCATTTAATATGCTGCCTGGGGTGAGAAGCAGCTATGCTGCAGGCTGCAGGGGAGAGTGACACAAAAGTGATCACCATTGGACTTGACTGCAGTTTAACCCCAGGGTCACTGGGAGGCCAGAGCAGAGGGCGGGGAGGAATGTAGGTCCCTTGAGCCAGCTAAGCTTCAGGCAAGCTCGCCTCTCCCTAGTGCCCCTGTCAGGAGCCGCAGCTGTGTCAGGCTGTACCAGGCCTTCCCACCCAGCTGTGTGCTGCCCCTAGGGAAGGGACTGGTTTTTCTGCTGGGCAGGAAAGCAGCTTCCTGTGTGACCCTCATTCCTCCCCTCTGCATGGCCTAGCTCCCCACTCACACAAAAAACTCTTTCAGAACCTGGTTACCTAGAGATGAACTTTTCAACAAGGCTTTTTGTTTGTTTCCCTTTAAGCTGCATAGCTAAAATCCGACTGTTGCTAAGATCAAGGATTTCCCCGCCCTTTTCCTTCCCTTAGCTCAGTTTCTGTCGACTAGGAAAGACCCAGAGATGAATTACTATTTCCCTGCCAAATGAATAGAGGGTGCTGAAGCCTCTGGAGCTTTCGGAGGGATTAGCCATGATTCAGGCTTGTGCTAATAGTCCTTAGCTACTCCTCACATGCTCACCGCCGTCGCCTGCGTTTGTGTCAGTAACTAAGGCCTACAGCCACCACTCAGCCCTAAGTGCACACAGGAGAACTGTGGAGTCGGAGGAAGAGGTAATTTGACATGAATATTTATGTACTGTACATACCGCATGCCATGATTCACTCAGCTTATTTCCATTTCATGCATTTTTTCCCCATTTGCAGTCTTTATTTATTGCAAAGTTAAGGCTGTTAGCAAAATAACACATCAGGGTGAATATTCTTTTCTTTTTATAAAATTTAATTTTCCTGACTTCTAATTTATTTCTGGGAAAGCGTGCCAATAGAGCAGCAAAACTGATTAACACTGCCGAACCCCAGGACCCTGGGCTGGGGGTGGGGAGCTGTGCAGACCTTGGTGTTCTCACCAGATCACTGCTACTGATCACAGTGGCTGTGAAAGTCCCACGCCACCAAGCTGTGGCAGCTCACTTCAGCCACCCTTTAGTGAGGGGAATCACTTACTCTCTGCTTTTCATATGCATGAAAGAAACATGAGTACTATGAGGAGCACCTCGCAAGTGCTTGGCCATGCCAAGCCCGTAAACCATGCTCTATTTCCCCTTTCATGCTGTCATTCTTTTTCTGAATCAAAGCCCCTCCAAAATTTGTACCAAGGTTACCTGATGAGTAGGAAATAACTAGTCAAACATGGATATAAGCACCAATATAATCACTAATTACTTCATTTGTGTTTTCTCATTTAAGTGTCGTTACCATAAGTTGGGGATTCACTAGTGCAACTTTGACAGAGACTTTCACCCCATTTTGGCCAGTTCTTACCATGTTTGTAGGTACCTCTTGTTTGCCACTAAAAGAAGACAAACCATCCAGTGGTTCTGCTTTTTTCTAATCTTGCTTTGTTCTTCTCTTTGTCCATGATCTCACTCCTTACCTTGCCTTTGACCAGACTTAAGAGTGTTTATTGAATTGCTCCTTTGGTTTTATATGTTTTCTAGCTGACTTTAATGCTGCTACCTTTTCTCCTGATCAACAGCCTCTCCAGCTGATCAACACCCAGTCATGGTTTCTGTAACCATATCCCCAGTGCCTGGTGCCCAGCCACAGGACCTACAGGGTAAATCCTGAGTTTGAATCCCACCTTGATTGTAAACTCAATCCATGACCACATGGAAAATTCTCCATAATTCCAGGTAGCAGATTTATCATCTGTACAAGTAGATACTGTACTTTATAAGAATTAAATAAGGTACTATCTATGAAGCTTGACGACCATAGGCTTAGTATTAGCTATGTGATGCTACCTGACTGACTGGTTTAGAGCAGCAGTAGGACTCTTTGGAGTACATAAAAATGAAGGGATTGGTGTGAAAAGGAATAATCATTTTCTATCTGCCACAATTTCTGTGGCCTAAGAATTCAAGACAACTCGTTTGGGCTGTTCTGGCTTGAAGTTTCTCATAGGGTTGCAGTAAGAAATTTGCACCTGATGACCTCACTGTGGCTAGAAATCTACTTTTAGGGAAGCTTTCTCAATTAGCCCATCCACCTTGGTGCTGGCTGTCAATGGGACACTGTGATCCTCTCCACAGGGCTGCTGGAGTGTCCTCATGGCATATTAGCTGTCTTTCTCCAGAGAGAATACTCAAAGAGAGAGAAAGAGAAGCTAATTCCTTGTTCTAACGAACCTGTGAAGTCATACCGACCACTATCCCCTGGTTTATTTATGAAGCTGGGGACAGAATCTTGTGCATGCTAAGCAAGTGGTCCACCATTGAGCTACACCCCAAGCCACAGCATATTCTTTTTGTTGAAAGTAAGTCAAGTGACTGAGACCAAGCCACACTCAAGAAAATGGAATTTTGGGCTCCATCATTTACATGGAAGAGAATTAAATAATGTATAGATATATTTTAAAATCACAGCAGGCTTTTAATAATCCAATTTTTATCATAACTAGTTGCCTTAATTATTTTCTGTTGTTGCTGAGACAAAATGCCCAACACGCCAAATTAAGGAAGGAAAGGTTTATTTAGCTTGCAGTTTGTGGAGGTTTCAGTCTCTAATCAGCTGGCTTCAAGGCAGGGTGGCATGGAACAGGGGAAACACTTCAAGGCGGCACAAGACAGCAAAAGCAGCAAGAGCAAAAAGGGTGTTGGGGGTGGGAAACAAACCTCTTTTCTCTCCTTTTATGTAGCCTACCCTACCTGAGGCGGGGAGTCCTTTACACCTACACCATCTCTTGCACAGGCTCAGGATGAATACAAAGTAAGGAGCCTGCCTTCCTACTGAGTCACATGGTTAACCTTCTAAACTTCTCAAGTAGACACAATGAACAACATCCTAGAGCAGGAAGAGCATGTCCTTTTCACCCCAGGATGTAGAACTGCTGAGTCACTTAGCCAAGCCTCTAGACTCCTCAAGTTGACACAATGTATCAGCCATAACACTAGTATATATTTGAGGATTGATCTATGTGTACATGTAAATCACCTACATATATCTTTATATACAATATATTTCTTTATTCATAAAAGCTACCTGTATATTTCTGTATCAGTGGTAACTGTTATTTCTAGAATGTGTCTCTTCTTGCTCTGGCATCCTCTTTATCACTGGTGCTGAGGTGCAGTTGGGGGGAAGAACTAAAATCTGGTGAACGGTGAGTTTCTTTTGGAATCAGTCTCAGTCTCTTGCAGGTGAAGAAACGCCTGATTTAAAGTTCAAATTCCTTTCAATCCTGATGTTCTCCCTTTCAGGGAGCCTCTCCCTTTCCTCCTGTGGAAGGAACCAGACCCACTTGCTTTGGCTGGACCCACGTCCACAGTGTTTGCTCACAGCTCTTGGAAACCCACCTCATGTTAGTCTTGGCTGCCATCTTGCTCCTTTGACTTCTCCACTGAAGTTGTCCTTCATTTTAAAAGTAATTGTGGGGGGGCTGGGGATTTAGCTCAGCGGCAAAAGCGCCTGCCTGGCAAGCGCAAGGTCCTGAGTTCGGTTCCCGGTACCGGAGAAAAACCAAAAAAAAAAAAAAAAATAAAAGTAATTGTGGGAACCCAAAGATGTTATTGTTCCTGACAAAAATACCTAGGAATTAAAATTTTGATAAACTTGCACTTTTGGCAAATGAATAACTTCATAAAACAGAAAAGTATATTTTTAATTTCTTAACTTCCTCTCTCATACTATTGTACAGGAAAATGTACTTTTTGGAATACAACTCTGTGAATTTTAACACCTCCACAATCAGTATACAGTATACTTATGTCACTCCTCATGGTATCCTTCTAGAGTCATTTGCACCCCAAACCCTTGGCTACTGCTGATCTGTTCTCCATCACTATATATAATTTTGTCACCTCAGGAGTGTTCCATAACGTTGAATCTTGTGAGATGATTGTCATGCATGTATATGTGTTTGTGTAGTACTGGGGATTGAACCCAGATCCTTGCATGTGATAGAACAGTGCTATACTACTGAGTTACAACTTTAGCCCACATTTTATTTCACTCAGTGCAGTTCCTCTGACCCTGATCCATGTTGTTTCATGTCTCAGTAGTTTATTCCTTTTAAATATTGTGCTGTATTCCATTGTATGGATGTACTATTTTGTTTATTCACTCACCCACTGGATTATTTGGATTATTTCCAGTTTGGGGCAATTGGGAATAGAGCTGCTATAAATATTCATGTACAGATTTTTGTATGAATACAAATTTTTATTTCTCAAGAGGAAATGGCCAGGAGTAGAATTGCTGAGTTATATGGTACATGTATATTTAACTTTATAAGAAAGTGTAAAACTGCTTTCCAGAGGGGCTTTATGAGTTTTCCATTCCCACCAGCAGTATGCATATTTTAGTCACTCCAGATCCTTACTAGCATTTAGTAATACCAGTATTTTTTATTTTAGTCATTCTAATATGTATGTGTGGCATTTTATGATTTTAATTTGCATTTCTCCAATGTCTAATTATGTTGAACTTTTTTACATATGCATATTTGCCATCTTTCTATCTGCTTTAAGGAAGCATCTGTTCTTTTCCCATTTTAAAACTGGGTTTTTACTTTTTTACCACTAAATTTAGGGAGCTCTTCCTATGTGTGCATACAAGTCTTTCCTGGCTAAGTACTTAGCAAATACTTTTTCCTAGTCTATACTTGTATCTTACTTTTTCAATCTTTTAATAATGTCTTTCATAAAGTAAAAGTTTTTCATTTTAATGAAGATCAGTTTATCATTTTTTCTTTCATGAATCATGTTCTTGCTGCAATTTTTAAGGACCTGAGTTTTATCTTCTATGGTTTCTAATGAGAAATCTGTCTTGTAAATTGATCCTGTATATGTAGTGCAACATGTTTCTCTGCCTACTTGCAAGACTTTTTTCATTGCTGTTAGTTTTCATTCTCTTGATTATAATGTAGGTAGATATGGAATTCTTTGGGTTTACCCTATTTATGTTTTGCTTGCTTCTTGAAGCTGTAAGCTTAATGTTTTGTTAAACTTGGAAAGTTTTCAGCAGTTATTTCTTTGAACATTTTTTTTCCTCAAGTTCCCATGATATGAATTTTAGGTGGGTTTTTTCTCAAAGAATGTCTTGCTATGTACCCAAGCTGGCCTCAAACTTTTGATCTTCCTGTCTTAGCTTCCCCACTACTAGGATTATAAATATGTGCTGTCACATCCAGTTAAATTAATTTTAAACTGTCCCATTGGTACTTGAGATTATTAAATTTTTTCTCAACTACTTTTTGTGTTTTTCAGAATGAATAATTTTCACTGGTCTAATTTTAGTTTCATAGACTATTTTCTGTTTTCTGTCATCCTAAAACTGCTATTGAGCTTAACCAGTAAGTTTATCTCTCCTTTATTTTTGTAATTCTAAAATTTCAATTATCAAATGGAAAGTATCAATACTTTATCTCCTATTTCTTTGCTGAGATTTTGTTTATTTCCCCAATTGTTCCAGGAATATTTGCTATTGTTTGTTGTAGCTTTTGTATAATATTTGCCTCAACATTATTGTCAGAAAATGATAATATCTATGTACCAATTTTCTAGAATTATTGCATTATCTTTTGGTGCCATGATAAAATACCTAAGAAAGCA